ACCAGAGGCTGAGCCTGGGGATGGAAGTCTAAAGGAAAGGCATTTGACAGTCCAGTGACACATTTTCCAAGTCCCAAGGTGACTTTCCCCCTCTGTTTTATGATCCCTAACAAAGCGCCTGTGCTGTGCAGTGCCTGTGGGTGGCACGCAGCAGGATTGTCATTCTCTTGAAAGTTTTTTCCTGGGACCCCACCCATGCCCAGCACACGGTCAGGTCCAGGGGTTGGGGTGGAGGAGAAATACTCCTTGTGGTCTCTTCTGGTTTCTGAGAGGAGAAAAGCTATAGACACGTCTTGTAGTTGTAGCCCGATTCTAGGCAGAAGGGTGAAGCCAAGGTTTCCCTCAGGTTTTGATCTTTGGTCACTCCGATTTTCCAGCGTGGACCGGGAGAGCTTGAGGAGTACTGTGGGTGCAGTTGTGCCTTCCCAAATTTACGTGCTGAAATCCTAAGGCCGGGTTCCTCAGAAGGTGACTGCATTTGGAAATAGGGTCTTTAAAGAGGTAAAGTTGATGAGGTCATGGGTGGGCCCTAGTCCAGTCTCCTCTTCAGGAGATTAGGACATGGGCCTTACACATGAAGACGCAGGGAGGAGGGGCCTGTCTGAAAGCCCAGGAGGAGACCTCAGAAGAAATCATCCCTTCCCGCGCCTTTACCCGGGCTTTCAGACTTTCAGCCTCCAGAATTGTGAGGAAATAAATCTCTGCTGCTCAAGCCACGCAGTCTGTGGAAATGTGTCACGGCAGCCCTAGCAGACTGACCCCGTGACCATGAGCAAGTCACTTAACCGCCCGAGCCCCCCCCATGCCTCAGCTGTAGGGAGGGCGCCAGAGCTCCTGCCTCACCAGAGTACACACTTAATCCTCTCGTGGACCCTTTCCGAAGTGGGGTTGGGTACTATTGTTCCCATTTTACAGATGAGGAAAGTGGAGCACAGAACTGTTAATTCACTTGCCTCACGATGTTACTCAGCAAGGAAGGGGTTGTGTCAGCATTTGGACCTCTCTGTTTGGTCTCTGGAGCCCACGACCCTGATCACTATGCTGTCCCAGCCCTTGTTAAAATGAGACAACAGATGTCAGGGGCCCAGCGCAGTAGTGCTTGGCCCACAGGACATCCTCAGGACAGCTGGAACTTCCTGATTCTGCATTGAGTTTGGGATGTTTGGACGCCAGTAGCTCTGAGTGTATGTGTGTCTGTTTCTGCCTCTGGTCTCTCTCTCTCTCTCCCTCTCTCTCTCTCTCTCTCTTTTCCCTGCCTTTATTTTTTTGTCTCCACTCTCCATCTGCCCATCAGCCTCCTCTCACTGTTCTTCTCCCTTCCCTGGTATTAACTGACTTTGGCTGCTGTCCGGGAGTGCAGCCTGGCACCCGGACCTGCCTAACACCTCAGATGATTAAACCAACAGGGATGGTGGCATTTAGCAAATGACACTGCCACACGCCTGTGAATCTGCCCTTTCCTCCCTCCCACCCACCACAGTTTGAAGGGCCTGGAGTCTCTGCCTGTTCTACGGAGCAGCCCTCATCGTTGACGGGTGAGTGTCAGGCCCCACCCAGGGACAGGGAGGCCAGCGCTGGCTCTGGAGTTACGCAGACCTTACGGTAAAAACACATCACCTTGAACCAGGGCCAGCCGAGGCATCAGCCCAACCAGCCCTGCCCCAGCGGCTGGATTCTGCCTGTGGCTGTGCCTTAGTCACTGGCCAGAGACTCTTTTCTTGTTCCAGCTGAGGCTGTCCCATGCCTCCCCCGGCAGCCTGGGTTCCTGGAAAAGCTACATGCCATAGGATGTGAATTTCCCCTCCTACTTAAATAATTAGAGCTCTCATTTATTAAACGCTTACTAAGTGCCAGAGACTGTGCTAAGTCCTTTCCATGCATCTTCTCGTTTAATCCTCTTAATAAACTTCTGGGGCAGGTACTCCTCTAATCTCCTTTTTACTGATGAGGACGCCAGCTCAGCAGCGTGAATACTAACAACAGAAAGTAGCTCACCTTGATTTGGGCGCTGCCGTGTGCCAGTAATGGGTGGCGGCATGCTGTTGTGATTATCTCTGCGTTCTCGTGGGGACACAGACCTGGGAGTTTCTGGGTCACTTGGCTTGTGCGTGGGGTCTTCCTGCCCAGCCCTTCACCACAAAGCTGTAATGTCATGTGGGAGATGTGGCCAGAGTCTCTCGAGTGGGCCCGAACCCTGTGCTGTACCCCTGCTCCAACGTGGCGGCTCTATCGACCGCTCCTTGCTGCCTCTGCTTCCTGGACTGAGGATGGCGCGTTTCCTGGAGTTGCCAGGCACAGACGGGGAATTTGCTTAAAGGACTCTGGGGAAAGGAGCTGAAGGGGGGGAGGGGGGGAGGAGACAGCTGGTGGTCACCTAGGGAGAGAGCTGAGTCCCCAGAACTAAAGATTGACCCTAGAAGGACTGACCTTCACCTCAGGGAGCCTGGGTGCTGGGAATCCGCCTTCCTGTCCCCTTCCACATGCCTGAGACTCACGCTGTGGCCTTGAGACCAGGGCCCCTCCAGTGGGCTCCCTGGTGCCCACAGCCCCCGAGCCTCACCTGTCTTCCACAGTGACCGAGAGAAGCACCCTCTCGCGAGGCGTGAAGGTGGGAAAGTGGCTAACATAGCTCCGCCTGCTCAGCTCTTTTCCAGTTTGTAAACCATCTCACAGACAGTGTCTTACTCCACTGAGCAAACACGTGGCCCCTGAACCGAAGCTTCCTTAGAGAGGGAAGGGTGCTCCTGGGATGCCCCGTCTGCCAGTCCCACTGCCACAGCTCTGTCCTGAAGCAGAGCTCCCTGCCCAGAAATGTCCACAGCAGTGTCATTGTCACAGCTGACGTTGGGAGGCCCGGGGCAGGGCCGTTGTTTGGGGTTGTTGCGGGCTTTGGATTACGGAAAGGGAGGCCGGCTTCCCGGCTTGGGCTGGCATCAGAGGGACATATGATCACAGAAAGGTCTTGAGGTAAGAGCTGAATGAATACCCCTAGAAGAAATGAAAAGTCGTGTAACAAAGAGGTACAGGGACATTAACAGCGATGATCCCTCAGTAATCACACGCCCGGGACTATGTCCGAACCTCACGTTTGTCACTGTGTTGGTCCTTGGCACAGCCCTTCCAGGGGAGAGCTGTTTGCCCCGTTTTGCAGACTAGGAAACATGTCCAGGAAGCAGCTGAGCTGGGAATTAAGCCCAGGGCTGACCCCAAAGCCTCCCTTCTTTTCACTCTGCTATGCTCCTTAGAAAAACAAAAACAGAATTCTTTTAATGTTGCTCTAGGAAATGTACTTTTAAAAAATTAATTTCCTTCTGCGATGCCTGGCTCACATCAGATCATAGATCAAGAGACAGATCTTGGGGCTTTGCCACCCAAGCAGGCTCCTAAAGGCTGCCTCTGCCTCAGTGTGCCCAGGGAGGCTGGGGAGCCTGCGGCTTCACTGTCTCAGCAGAGATGGAGGAACCTGTTAACCTGTCTTAGAAGCTAATAAAAAAAAAATCCCAGTGAGATCATGTCTGTTAAAGCCCTTTGAGGCTGACACAGCTCTGAGGCTGTGTAGACATGCACTGTCATTATTGCTTACTCAGCAAAAACTCCCCCCCCCCTCCCCGGGGCTACAAAGCCCCTTCGTCCTTCCAGCCCCTGGTTTCCTTATGCATTTCCTTTGATGCTCCCTTTGCGTCTTGAAGACTTGACTTTTTTTTTTTTCTTTAAACACTCTATTCTAGTATGAGGCTGGGCGGGCGGGCGTGGTGGCTCATGCCTGTAATCCTAGCACTCTGGGAGGCCAAGGCTGGAGGATTGCTCAAGGTCAGGAGTTTGAGACCGGCCTGAGCAAGAGCGAAACCCTGTCTCTACTAAAAATAGAAAGAAAGTAATTGGCCAACTAGTATATATAAAAAAAATTAGCTGGGCATGGTGGCATGTGCCTGTAGTCCCAGCTAGTTAGGAGGCTGAGGCAGAAGAATTGCTTGAGCCCAGGAGTTTGATTGAGGTTGCTGTGAGCTAGGCTGACGCCATGGCAATCACTGTAGCCTGGGGCAACAAAGCGAGACTGTCTCAAAAAAAAAAAAAGAAAAAAAAAAAGAAAAATAGAAAGAACTGGCATGTTTTAGGTACTTATTTTGTGCTAAGTCTTTTTTCTCTTCAAACTGTACAGCTAGCCTGTGAAGCAAAATGGAATTCGTGTTCTCCTTTGCAGACGAGAGAACTGGGGCTCAGATTGGGGAGCTCGATGAGGTCATGTGGCTTAGGGCAGCAAGCTGCGTCTGCTCTCAGGTTGTGCCTTGCTGCAATTATGCCTGTGTTTTCCAAATCATTCTCTCCAGTAGGCAGAAGATTCTCTGCCCTTCCTCAACGGGAGGAGGAAAAGGGCCTGCCCAGAATTTGTCCCTGAACTGATGATTGTGGCGTGTTACTCATCTTTGCTATAAAGGCTGGGCTGGACCATCTCCGTCCTTTTGAGATATTCTGGTGTATCTTGGCCTTGATCTGTTGGGAAGTGACCTCCCTGTGCAGGAATGCCTTTGCTGGACTCTGCATGACATGCATGAACAGATGGATTGGAGACACAGGGCTGTAGTTTGCTCCAAGAACCTAACCCACCCCAATCTCTGCTGTTTCCATCTGTAAAAATCTTTAGAATACCTTTATCGGGGGTGTGGAAACAGAGAGAAAAATAGATAATAATAGCTGAGTATTTAGTGTGCACTAACTGCTTTTCCAGAAACCATCCTAGCATTTGGTCTGGCAGCAATAGCACTGCCCATACCCTTCCCAAATGCACCATAAGATAAGTTGAGCAGGTAATTTGTACCCATTTTACAGATAAGGAAGCTGAGGCTGAAGCTCAAAGTCACAGAATTGGAGCTGAAACTCAGATCTCCTGAGTTCAGAGGATGAAACATTCCCTTCTTCCCACTCAGAATAATCTGTCGTGTGTCCATTTCTATGTGGATTTCCTAGATGACTGGCTCTTTTTTTTTCTTTTTTTGCTACAGCCCAGATAGAGGGGACAAAGGCTGCCTAATACAACGTGTCTTCTTCCCAGTGGAATTCCAACTGCAGAAGGTACACACATAAAGGCAAAGCATGACCAAAGCAGGATGACTGCAGGACTTTGGAGAAAATACCCATGAAATTTCAAATAGTGTGATCTGAATAACTCTTATTACTAGCACGTAGACTATAAACATATGCAAGAAGAAAACAAAAAAAAAGAAACATTTGCTTTTGTCATTCCTTGGCAAGAACCCTAGAAAAAACTTGCCTTTGGGGTCAAGCTGACCCTCCTGCTCTTAGTTTCCTTGTCAGCCTCAGAATGTCCTTTGAGAATCATTCTTGGAGGTGAGAGAGGACTGACCATACTTTACCTAGAGCAGGCAGTTTTGGATGAAATCATGCCCAGCTGTGGCTGTGACCCGCTGTGACTTATACTCAGTAAGTACCCGCTTCTATGCACGTGTGTCTGTCCTTCAGCTCTCAGTGCCCTGCCGAGATGGGAATCTCCCACTTTGCACAGATGAGGAAACTGAGGCCCGGGGAACTAAACTGACTTGCCCAAAGCCAAACAGTTTTAGAGTAGGGACTTGGCTGGGCGAAGTGGCTCACACCTGTAATCCTAGCACTGTGGGAGGCCAAGATGGGAGGACTGCTCAAGGCCAGGAGTGTAAGACCAGCCTGGGCAACTTGGCGAGACCCCATTGCTACAAAAAAATAAAAATAGAATAAGGATTCAAGCCTGTGTCTGAGCCTGTTGATTCCTCCATTTAGCAGCGACTGAGCTGCTGCTTGGTTTAGTCCTGGGGTGCTGAGTGTCATGTCTATGCCCTGCGCCAGTGCTTTCTGTGTACTGATATGTTCACTCCTTGGCAGCACCCGTGAGGCTAGCCCTCCAGGTCCTCCATCCCCCGTCCAGAACAATTGGTACAGACTGCATCTGGAAATACATGCTATATTTGAGGCTTTCAAAAGGCAACGTGGTGCACACACCACACTATGTGTTGTCTTGTGTCACCCCCAAATTCCTGTGTTGAAGCCCTAACCGTTCCCCAGTACTTCAGAATGTGACTAGATTTGAAAGTAGGGCCTTTAAAGAGGTGATTAAGTTAAAATGAGGCTGTTAGGGTGGGCCCTAAGCCAATCTGGCTGGAGTCCTTGTAAGAAGAGGAACTTTGGACACTCGCAGAGACACCAGATATGCTCACGCACAGAGGGAAGACCAGTTGGACACAGCCAGACGGTGGCCACCTGCAAGCCAAGGAGAGAGGTCTCAGGAGAAACCAAACCTGCCAACATTTTGATCTTGAAATTTTAGCCTCCAGAATTATGAGAAAATGAATTTCTGTTGTTAAAGGCACCCAATCTGTAGTATTTTGTTACGGCAGCTGGAGCAGACAAATACACCATGTGTCTGGGGCAGTTCCTCTAGCCATGCCCAAGATTTCTACAGGGAAATATGTTAATTGTCTTATTCAGCAGGATAAATAAAATCCATAAGCAGCCTTATGCTAGCTCAAGTCAAGGCTCGACGTTACCAAAAAGCATTGGTTTTGAGAGTTGTGCTTTATCATTTCTATTTTGCAGCTGAAAAACCAAACTCAAGGAATTCTTGCAAGGGCTAGATTTGAACCTGGGTGTTGAGCTCCAGGCCTGTGAATTTACTGACTGCCCTATACCACCTCTTGACATAATTAGCCTGGGTTAGTGTCCTCATGGAGCTCAGGGACACAGAATGGCAAATCCATAACTATACAGTATGTCACAATGGAATGTGAGAAGAGTATCTGGGACCCATGCTTAAGTAGGGGACAGCCCTGGCTTTAGCCCCAGTGCTCCACCGCTCCAGGTTGGTCCCTAGTGCTTGTGCCCAGGGAAAGATAATGCTGAGCTGGGCTGGCAGGGCTGGGGCTGGGCTGTGGCCCAGAGGGACCTGGCCCATCTCCATCCAGCGCCATGAGACCCTGCCCCCCTCCCCCCCCCCGCCCCCCGCCCAGCAGGAGCAGCGGGCCAGCAGGCCACTGTGTTTGCTCTGGGCAGAGGCCGCTCTGTCTTTCCACACTGTGTGGACACGGCTGGGAAACCGTGGTGGGGAAAGGACTGCCACTTCTGTTCCATGTTCCCTGGAGAAGAGAAGACAGCCCTTCTATTTAATGTTTTTATGAAGTCATATGTTTCTCTGTGAAAGATGAAAGCAAGGTCTGCTTCAAACCTGAGCTTTTAGTAGAAGCCTGTTCTTGTTTATTCAGTTGGCTTTTTAAAAAATGGCCATTTTCAGAGGCCTCACTACCATAGTAGGCACTATTATTCTTGTTATAATCATCACCATTTTTATCACTTCCTATTCTTGCTAGAAATTAACCAGGATCACTGGCCTAATGTGCCAGGGACCATGTAGTGGGGAGCCAGGATTTGACCCCAGGATTTAGGATTCAAAGTTCAAAGTGTGTCTTGACCCCTGCAACCTAAGACCATGGACACAAGCCTTCCGTGACCCAGCGACTCCGGAAGTGCTACTACTTCCTGCTGCTCTGAGTAACAGTAGCAGCACCAATGATCACATAGCTGACAGTCTGCGGAACCACAGTGCCAGGCCCTGTTTGAGTGCATTGTGTATTTTAACTCACAGAGTCCCCCTGACTCGTCCTGAGGTGGCTACTATCAAAATGGGGACTTTGAGAGGATCAGTCAGTTGTCCACAGTCGCAGCACAGAAATGAAAACCCTGCAGGGGGCCTGGTCCTCATGGTTTGCTGCTGTTCTGCACAGCCTCTCACGGCTGAGGACACCGCGGGTCAGGTGGGTGGGTGGCCCCGAGCTCAGGGAGTGTCTCTGAGGTTCAGAGGGAGGAAGAGCAGGAGGAAGATTTGGGATCTCCTGAGTGCTCAGCCCTGTGAGTGCATTTTTTACCAAGTTAATTGATGACTTTGTCAGTCAGTCCCCTGATTGCTTCCTATCTTATGTTTTCATCTTATTCATTCATGCAGTGAGCATTTATGAAGCAACTCCTGTATTCCAAATATTGCTAGACCCTGGGGATACAACAGTTAAAAGACCCAGTGCCTACCCTCAAAGGAGCTCTTCTCCTTGCAAACTCTTTAAGGAAAGGAGGCAGGAAGCAGACATCTGTTCTGGGCTGCCTTAGGCTGTTCTAGATATTGCTAAACTGCTCAGCCTCTGAGGTTCAGGAAGGCTGAGAACAAGCTAGTCAGGAACTGGCAGAAGGGGGTTAGGACCTAGGTCACCAGCCTCTCGGGAGCCTGTAGTGCTCGAGCTTCTCTGCCAGGCAGGCCAAGCCCAACATACGGAAGAGACCCCTGCAGAATTCTCACTGGGCTGAACTCATTCCTGGAAGCAGGGACTTGGCATTCACTTAATTGTCGTCAATGTTCACTTTCCCTTGTGTGTCTGCACTTGCTCCTGGCCCTCTCCAGATGCGGTAACTGATTCTTGGAAGGGCTCTCCTGCTCATGGTCCCTTTGTTATCTACAGCAAGCCCAGGATAATGTGATTCCTGGAAATAGCTCCAATTTCTTTCTGCTTCTCAGTTCCCCTCTTTTGCTAGCAGGGATGAGCGTAGGCAGACATGGAGGCATTCATTTGGTATGTCCAGCCCAGCCCTTATGGCTACAGTTTCCAAGCTGGAGGGGTCTTGAGCCCACCCACTTCTTGGAACAGGGGGATATGGGCGACACTGAGTACCTGAAAGATGGGTTGATTTGTCCAGGTCACACAGCTTGAGGGGGGCAGGCTTGTGGCAGGCCTTAAAGGCACTCTCTGGAGGACTCCACTTGCCTCCTGGAGGTTTGCAGATACGAGATACCCTTCCTGGAAAGACCTGACTTGGGGACATTGCAGATAAGGCCGGTTGGTGTGCCTGGCCGCCCAGAATCAAAGGATTTCCAAGAGAAGCTAGGGATTGACCTTCCTTGAGGTGGGTCTTGCAGATAAAAATGCTTTTGAAGTTCAGTTGGTGGGAGATAGGATCTTTGTGGCAGAGCTTGTCACCAAAGGGCCTTCTGGATGGATGCACCCTGATAGAGAAATCAGCAAGCTGAAGATAGGGAAAGAGAACACTTATCATTGAAGGCCTCCTCAGGGTTTGCTTTGAGGTACTTCCTTCCTGTCAACCCCGTTCTGGAGTCCCCATTTCGCAGATGCAAAAACTGAGGCATAGATAATTATTTTCTAATTTGTAAAAAAAAATTCTGATGGGGATATCATTTTATTTCAGTTTCCTGGGATATTTCAGAATGCCCAGTGTTGTTATGCAATAGTTTAATTAAGCATATACCACAGGGCAGGCATCATGCTGCCTTTTGGGAGTATAGGAATGAGTAGGAAGTTCTGTGTTCCTTTAGAGAGATTTTGGTCTCCCGTGAGGAACAGAGGAGGGATTTAGATGAGAGCTGTGCAGCCCCCGGGTGCCGTGCTGTGGACATGTAGTGAGAACACACAGAGGGCACACGGTGTGGATGTGGGGTGGTCAGGGAAAGAAGGAGTTAGCCCAGAGAAGAGGCAGGAGGGAGACAGGCGAGGCAAGCAAAGACCAGATCCCGGGAAGACCGTTTGGACTTTGTGCTCAGGACAGTGGTCTCACAATGAAAATTTTAAGCAAGGGTCGGAGAGGGTGAGGTTGGCATTCCAGAAAGCTTGGCCTCCCTATATCGTAGAGAGATCAAAGGGGATTCAAACTGGTGGCCAGCAGTGATGGGGGCCTGACCTGGGGGAGATGGGGAGGATCAAAGAGACCCAGCAGAGAGAACCCCCTGAATGTGGTGTGTGATGAGCCTAGGAGTTATGGGAAGGAAGGAATTAAATATTCTTGCAGAGTTCTGCTTAGGTGGCTACGTGGATTTGGTGCCATGTGCCATGCTAGCAAATGCAGAGGGGGCAGGGGTGGCCTGGGATGGAGCCTGGAGGGACTGTGCCCTGCCTGCAGCTAGGTGAGCAGCTGGGGTTGGTGGAGAGCTGTGCCCAGAGCCACATGGTGTGGACAAGTCTAGGTTCTCCTCCAGGAAGCTGCCTTGAAGACTTTCGAGACAAGAGACAGGTACAGCCTTGTCTATGCCACTGAGCACCTGCTACCCATCACACGTTGCCGTTCTCAAAACCATTTAACAACATGAGGGACTGTTTTGCAAAAATAAAGTGCAGAATGCACTGATTTCCTTCCTTCCATGGTGTTTCTCTTTAGGCCTCACTTTCTTGTCCTTGTAGGGGCACGGAGATGGCCTGTGTGGGGGCTCTGGAGTCCCCTGCTTGGGTCTGACACCTGACTCCTGACTTCAACAGTGACTAACAGTGTAACTTCACATTTTGGTCTGCGAAATGGATATAATTGTGGCACCTCTGTATTTTCCAGATTTGCTGCAGGGATTGAGAAGACAATGAGTGTAGAATTCTGATCCCAGCTCCTGGGGGGTTGGGAGCAGGCTGGAC